CCGTTGCGCTTTTGATCGCAATTTTCCTTCAAAAAACATACAATAAACCAAAATATGTGAGTTGAACTACGGTGCTCTGACTTTCTTATTGCACGAGGAGTACGTAAGCACTAGGTTGTGGGGCCTAGGCGAGAAAAACTTTGTAAATATTCCTTCTTTTCCTTGTGTTTTCTTTCGCATGCATTCCCTCTTAGCAGTAAGCTTTAGACATAGATTTTTACACACCCTTAGATTAGAGCAAACTTAAGTGGATCCTGTGGAGTACCACAAACGTGTGGGGTGTTAATATATTCTCCCGCGTAACCGACTTCTGTACCGTTACTCTTGGTGGCAAGACAAGCTTATCCATTTATTTGGGGTTCTCTCGATATCTTCCTATCCTTCGGGATAAATAGAGTTCGGTGGCGACTTTATGCTTTTTTTTGCGGCGCGATAGCTGGCGACTCTATTAAGGACAGGTTGACCAATTGTTGGTCCATCCTATGCAAGTCAGTCCTAACTTTCGTGTGTTTTCTTGTCTTTGGGCGTTTTTTGTGTTATCACTTTATTGCTGCTTTATTCACATGCTTTCGTGCATATGTTTGCATAGCATTTTACTGCTTTCCATATACTACTGTTGTGCTGGATTTGTTGATTTTTCAGATTGAGTGGGATGTTACTATTGAGGTAATAGGCCCAACACACAGGCCAAGTGACAAACAATAGGAACACTAGGAATAGAGTGGAACATGACAGGTAGGGGATGTAGATATCCTTATGCGGCTGTGTCGTCCACGCTCAGATGAGATTTTAATGAGGTGATATCATTATCACGAGGTGTACGATGATGGTATTCTCAAGCGGACCTGGGATTCTGAGTTACCATTGACCTTATCTTGACTTAGTCTTGACCCGTGAGTGGGGCGGGAATATCTTTACAAATACAGATGGTGACATTGTTCTAATGGTGATTGTATCGCTCTGTTGGTGACTATGGTTCTTTGGTTATGTTCCGAACCTTTGATCTTGGTATTCTTGGCATGTTCAGAGATAGTACATCATCCAACATTGTGGATACCTTGATTTCCATGATTATTGCACTTGCATCACAGCATATTTATTTTTTCAAAAGAAATGTAAAAAATAATGTATGTGGAAAAAAGAGCTAATTCGCATATGCATACCATTTCCAGATTAATCTGAGATAGTTCAGCAACGGTAACAAATTAATTTGTTGCCATTGATGAGGGTATGAGAAGTGGGATATGGTGTCGCTTTTACAATTTTATGATCCTCAACTGTGTTGCTTTACTTTTCAGGACTATCAGTTAGCACCCACGCTTAAGGAATATACTTATATCCTTGATATCGAGATCACGAGTCGTACACCTTTCGTCTGTGTGCCTGAGATCCCCGATTATGTGGTTATCGCTAAGGCTCTTTATTTGAACCTTAGTGATGTAAAAAGTAATTGGACAGAAAAGAGCAACAAATCCAGTCTTCATCTGGAGTTTATGATAACCAAAGCTAAAGAGTGTGCAAGAAATAGGGATTGGGTCACGTTTAACACACGTTGGCTGCCATGACTTACGGTATTGTCATCTTGCCCAATATGGAGGATTTCATAGACCTCTCAGCAATTAGTGTTTTCATGAGTGGAAATCCGATGTCGACGATTCTCGCCTGTTGCGTCACGAAAAAAACACAAAGTCGCCACTGATCTCTACTTATCCCGAAGGAATGGAAAATGTTGAGAGAACCCCAAAGAAATGAATAAGATAGTCTTGCAACCAAGAAAAAGAGTAAGAAAGTCGGTTATGCGAGGAAAATGTATTAACACCCCACGCGTTTGTAGTACTCCACAAGATCCACATAAGTTTGTTATAATCTAAGAGAGTGTAAAAATTTATGTCTAAAGCTTATTGCTAAGAGGGAATGCATGCGAAAGAAAATATGGGGAAAATAAGAAATATTTACAAAGTTTTGCTCGCCTAGGCCCCGCAACCTAATGCCTATATACTCCCTCGTACAATGGGAAAGTCAGAGTGTCGTAGTTCGGCTCACATGTTTTCGTTTGTTGTATGTTTTTTACCTTGAAAAAGAGTTTTAAAAGAAAAGTCAAACGGAAAAATGAAGTTTGAATTGGTTGGTGTATTTTACCTTGAAAAAAGGTTTTTATATTGTTAGTGTTTTAATGAGTTTACAAGAAAAATGAGTCTTAGTTTTAATGCAAATGCAAAAGAAAGAGAAAGAAAAAGGTCTAAGAGAGATTAGAAAAGTAAGCCTAGAGTTGTCATGCAAAGTTAATTATATAGTTGAGGATAAAGGGAAATCTATCTATGTTAGCATGCATGGTTTGCAACCCAGGGTCTATCTCAATTGACTTCCTAAGATTGAATCGATAAATCCTACGGAAGCATGTCAGCATGCAATGAAAATTAAACACACAAAGCTTGAGAAGCATTCGCTCACTCATGTAGCACACACCTAACCAAGGTATCATGTTACCAAGGAAGGAAAGGGAGAGGGATCAAGTCTAACCAAGATATCATATCATCGAGTTAGTATAAGGGAGAAGGGGCACCTAACCATGATATCAGATCATCAAGGTAGGATAAAGGGAAGCTTAACCAAGATATTGAATCATCGAGGCAAGCAAGAATGGGGGAATAAGTGGTTCTTAATCGTGGTATCATGTTATCAGGGCAAGAAAGATGATGGATGTCGACTCTTAACCAAGATATCACTTTATCTAGGCAAGAGAAGAACAAAAAGTGAATCGTTATAGGCGACTAAACACCTAACCAAGATATCACGTTATCAAGGTAGGAGATGGAAGGAGATAGTGAGATCACATCAGAGCATCAACGTGCACGGAATGCTAGTTAATGACAAAGCATAGGGGTTGGTTGTGAATCCTTCTCTACTTGACTGACTCAATACAAGAATAGCATGATTTGTAGCATCGACGTACGATGCGAGCTACGAATGACATTGACTAGAAATTGCAGGGGTCGATTATGGACTCTTTTCCACTTGCCTTCTTTAAGGACTTAATAATGGGGAATGGGAATAGGACGCCTTCATCGAGGCCTTTGGCATAAATGTAAACACACATAATGGTAAACACGCGCAAGTAGGAATTGCCTGTTACAGGTCTTTTAAACAACGACTCCCAGAACATGCATCTCTAGTCCTACTTCTCATGGCATCAGAAAGTGGTAAAGCATGCATCTCTATTCCTACTTCTCATGGCATCAAAAAGCGGTAAAGCATACACCTTTATTCCTACTTCTCATGGCATTAGAAAGCGATAAATAATGCAAGAGATAAAAGGAAACAAGTGAGAATACCAATCAAACGTAAGTTCATCAATTATCATAGGAAAGCAAGGAAACCCGGAATACCTTGAGCAAGCTTTACCAAGAAAGCGCTATAGTCAGAAACAATATCCAATTAATATCAAGTGCAAAAATAAATCGCGAGCCATGAATGCGTCACATCACATCAAAGTTCTTGCACAAGATAATACTATACAAACAAAGCAATATTCAGACAACTCGCATAATGTGATAAAGTGTCCTCCGAACTTGCACAAAACCACCAAATGAGTTAGCAAATAACAACACAATATAAATCGAAACTCAAGTATCAAATTACGACTCAAAAATAATGATGGAATGCAAATGGACGAGGTACGAAGAAGCAATGGAAGGCGGGAATCAAAACCTGGGCAGCACTAGCGCATAACAAGAATGCGTCCGAAAAATGCACCGAAAACGGTATAACACCAACAATGGTTTATAAACACCAAACCAAGTTCAAAAGCAAGCCTTAATCGATATTTAAAACATGTATTTACACCTATGTATCGAAATCGGACAGTAACTCATATAAACTTGGAATCGATCGAAAAAATGCATCGAAAATAATAAAACTCACTACCAATGGTCGTGGCATGTTTATTATGTACAAGTAAACTTTAAATGACAATTAAAATAGCATGTACAAGTGGAATTAAAAATCGGGACAGCACTATTGTTATAACATGAATTACTCAGAAATTGATACTGAAAACAAGAAAACTCGATGTTAATACTCATGAAATGTTCGATTAAGTGCAAACAAAGTGTCAAATGGAAATTAAAGTGGTATATGCACATGAAATTAATTTCGGACAACAACTTTCTATTCACAAAATGCACAAAAAATTAATTTTGAAATCCTCCGAAACAGCACTGATGCTCAACAATTAACAAAGCAAGCTTCTCTAAATACTTAGCAAGAACTAAATTGTGCATTTCTCATGATTTTCTAATACCGGACAGCCACCTATTACCCAGAAACATGAACCAAAATTGACAATTTCAATGTTAATGACCAACACATGTACAAATGAACTCAAGTGACACTCAAACGATACTTAAAAGGTGATTTACAACTTGTTTTCATAATCCGGACAGCAACCTACACTTGAATCAATACCGATTAAGATCGAATTTCAAAGTGGCGAGAGGATGCACAAAATCAACTATCGCTTCAAGTGTTGTTGCTAGGAATGTATAAACAAATTGCAAACAAACAACAACATTACCAATTCCAAGTCCAACTAAGCATCATCATGTGTTCTTGCAATTAACAAATCAATAAGTCTTCAACATCACAAAATCGGATCCATCAACAAAACGATACAAAACCCCACTATCTCATGAAGGCCACATTAAATCTCCATCCAAACCTTCAACTCAATGATTTATTCCGAAATTCGATATTCAAATCAAAATCAATTTTATCAATCGGAATCATAAGTGTATTCTAATTAGTACCACAATTAACCAATTCCATTCTTCATTATCATCATCACCTCAAGAACAAATAATCCCCAACTTCAATTAATCAATCCGAGAATAAACAATTCAACATTCAAGTAAATTCGCATTCATGAGTTCGATTCCAATATGCATCCAAGATTCAATCAACATCTCTAATTCACGAAATCAAATATGCAAGAAAAATTTAATTCAAGAATTAGAAAAGCTACCGGACGGAATCGAAGGAGAAGAGGTCGGAAGTTGCAATCGGAGGGAGATGTCCGCAGAGGAGTTTGTCGGCGGAGGAAACCTAGCGCGATCGGAATAGCACAACGGCAGGATGTGCTTCGTGTAGAGGGAGTTGCAGCGGCCGGAAGTCACGGACGGGACTGGAGTTGCAGCGGCACAGCGGTGGCGACCGGAAGAAGAGAGGCGGCACGGCTGGTGTAGAAGAGAGGGAGTAGTTTTCTGTTTTAAGAGAGAGGGGAAAAAATGATTTTTGAACTTTTTCTCTTTTTTTGACTTTAAGGAGAATAGAGAGAATGAGAGAAAATTTTGAGTGCCAAACTAGACAAATGATTTAACTTTTGTGAAAATAAAGAGACAAAATTAATATATATATATATATATATATATATATATATATATATATATATATATATATATATATATATATATATATATATATATATATATATATATATATATATATATATATAGTGTGGTAATTTGGCCTGATTTAAATTGGATACAATTTGAGTCTTATCTAAATTTCTCAGTGTCATAAAACATACACAACAAAAGGTTCGAGATATCCGTGTAAAATTAGGACTCGAGATCAACATCAAAATCGAAGATGGCGAAATTTGTGACGTCTGGCAGAAAGAACCGTCACAATCGGGTAAATAAGGAGAAAGTTATGAATTTTTGAAGATGCACAAACGCAGAGCCAATTTAGCTAATGCAGATTTTTCTCAGTTAATTTCACTGCTCAATTTAGAAAGAATGTCGCGAACGAAAATCCTCCAATCAAAATCCAAACTCGGGGTCTGAAGCAACTTTGGAGCTCACATAATTTGTGAAATTGTGTTGAAAGAATCGCCTCGATACGATAAAAATCGAAGAAGTTGCGATTTTTACAGTATCAAGAAACGGTGAACTAAAATTCCGGTTCAACACAATAAAATCTTTGGTAATTCGCATTTCCGGGGATATTGTGCAAAGAATCAGCTCTCGACCCGAACATACGAAATGAAGATGGAATCAAAACGAATTTTTCGCCCAAAGAACCACTCAAAAACGTCAAACTGGGCGAAAGTTGTGAATTTTTGAACGTCGGAAAAATAACGGTTCAGCACACCATTTTTACCGTATTTCCACTGTATCTTTTCAAAGTATCCGCACGTTCGGAGATCTTCCTTTTGCGAATCAGCTTCCGAGCCGAACATATGAATTGGAGACGATATTAAGACGGTTTTAACGCCTCGGGAACTGATCCAAAATAGTATTTCAATCAAAGTTATGAATTTTTTATTACCTGCGAAATGGCGAACCAGCAACTAAATTCAGTACACTGTCTTCAAAGAATTAAATTTCTTGGAGATCTTCTTCACAAAATTAGCCTTAGATCCAAACACGAGAAATGATAAGAAAATAAAGAAGGTCTCAATGCTGGAAGAATCAACTGAAAATACTAAATCGAATGAAAATTATGAATTTCTGAACACCCGAGAAACAGATAACCAGTCATTAAATTCAAATACCGTTCCAGGGAAATCAAATTCTTTGTAGACTTTATTCATAAAATTGGCCTCCGGTCTGAACAGATGACATGAAGAAAATACTGAGACGGTTGCAATGTCCGAGGAACCATTTCAAAACAGTATCCTGATTGCAAGTTGCAAATTTCTAAGCTCAAACCAGCAAAAGCACTGTTTCTGGTTCACACTGTTTCAAATTCACCGAAACACCTGATTTTTCCGCAGTTTAGAGCGTATTGACATACATGAGAGCTTGACATGATGATGGATTGATTGATTATTTCTTTGGTAGCTTGTGAAACATGCGGAACACCTTTTAACCTTGAAAAACCAAAGTTTTTGCCTTGTTATACTGCCCGACAGAACAATCTTTTTGTATGGCCTCTGGAAAGAAATACCTTGATCCCATGACCATTTTCTGATTAATGATGCATGCGATATTATATGAATAAATGAAGAGTATGTATATGAAGGATGCGAGATGCATAAGCCAAATGATCCTTATAAAGGGGTGGGTCAAATTTTTGAGTATGACACCGCTGACACTTACTATGCCATTCATTCCCGACATGGAAAGAAAGAGAGTGATGTCTATTGCATTTTGTCATACCCCAAATTTTCCCTATCCTCCTCTAAGTATCATCTGGCTTATGCATTTTATACCCCAAATATGCCCTAACAATTTAGTAAACAGATTATTATTATGCTTCTAATTTTAAAAAAATCATGTTTTAGTTCAAAATGCTCATTTTTCTTTGGGTCCTAAGTTTAGGGGTGTTAATATAAGGAAGGGGGTGTTTGAGGTTTTTTTGAAAGACCCATTAAACTCATTCATGTTAAGATAAGGTGCATTTTTTATAATAGGAGGTATAGTGCAAATCATTTAGGCCCATTAAGGTTTTGGAAGTCCATTTCAAAATAAAAGAGTAGTTACATTGTATATAGGAGATGGTGTTAAAAGTTGGTGGACTCTCTAAAAAATCAGGAAGACCATTTTTTCTTGGCCCATATTAAAAAGTCTAGTCCATCTCGCAAGTTTAAAGAGAGGGGTATAATGCAATCTAGGAGGTCCATTTGCAATTTATTTTGGAAGCCCAATAAGTTGTATGGCCCGTCTGATTTTGTTTTGTTTTGAAGAAAAAAAACACTTTTGTTTGTTTCATAACATTATTAATGTGTTATTATGTTATTAGAGGCCCAAGTTAAAGGCACGGCCCAACAAAACTCCAAACACAGTATAGATAAAAAAAAAAGAGAGAAAAAAACATATGGCCCAATTCCACTAAAAACCAACTACTATTGAGATTGTATGCACGCGTAGAAAGGGTTCGTTCTTCAGCATTCAAACGCATGAAACTGCAGACTTAAAATTGCAGAAAACATTATATCAACGAATCTGGAATTTCTTTAATACAAATCAAGCAATGTCCTTAATTTACAGATCCAAATTCAAATTCTTTCCTAATTCAAGAACCTGTTAAATTACATTAAAATGGCTTGCTAAAACTAGAATCCCTAATTAAAAACCTAATTCAAAACTATGATTATTTCCTAAAATTCTAATGTCTAAAATCACTTTAAAAGACTGATTACAGTTACGAGAAAAGGGGAGAAGAGAAGAGAATAACAGTAAGAACAAAAATGATCCACTTCGGCCTCACCATTATCCCGCCGCCGCAACGATCTTCCCTATCTTCCCATCACCGTCTACTCACCATACCACTGCTTCCGTCTTGAACCAACTCCGATCAAACCTTCACCCAATCAGTCCGCCGCGGTTTCCCTCCCCCGATCAAAACAGACGAGACAGAGAGATTAAGCGTCGCCGCGAGTGAAGACTAGAGGGGCTAGGGTATATGATTTGTTTGGAACAGAGAAGAAGAAGAGCATATACGCGAAGAGAGCCGAAAGGCTGCGGAGAAAGAGAGAAATAATGGAGTTGTTATGTTTGAGGTGTTGTAGACTTAAGGTTAACACAACCCTTACTCTTGTTTTAGGCTGGTCGGATTCGGGTCCAGCCTGACCTGGTCTAGCCCACACTTTTTATTATTATTTGTTTTATATATCAACGAGCCTTACCTTAAACAACTAAGCCCAATCCGCATACTCCCTTTGTTCATTTTACTAACTACGTTGAATTTAACACCCCCTGACCATTTGGGGCCTGAATTCAAAATCTGAATTCAGGCCCTTTCTATTTGCACCCCCTAAATATTACTTCATAACTAAAATCGCACCCCCAGTAAATTCATTTTATTTTATTTTTTATAATTTTGTTTTATATAGTTATTTATCTATTTTTTCTGATTATTATATATTTACATTTATATTTTAATTATAATTATATATATTTATTATTATAATTAATTAGTTAATTTAGACTTAGTAAAAAAATATATCCATTTACATTAAATCACATCTTTAAAATTATATACCTAGAAACACTCCTCGCCATAATTAAAAAATATTAAAATCTGCAATTCATTAAATTACAATATCCGCAAGCGATACGCGGTCAATATCTGGCCACGTGAGAAGGGAGCTATATCAGACTCTTTTGCTCTACGTATAAAAAATATTCAACCAAACACCAAATCTCTTTCTTTCGTATTAAATTAGTTCAAACAATTAATTTTCTAAAAGGAACGGATATATTTAAATTAACTGCGTACTTGGTCTAACAAACTCCACTATTCACACTCTTAGACTACGTGTGTGGGAAATTCACAATATATTTCGCAATACATAAAAAATTACAAACAAAACCGCGAAATACGAAATGGGACTCTGATTCCTTCTAGGAGGATACGTAGGCATGCGATCAAAAATCGTGGCGAGTCCCGCTAACTAAAATTCAAACCCTTTCCCCACTATCTAAAATCCAAACCCTTTTCCCAAATAAACATTTAAAAATCCTATTTTCTAAAATCATGCTTCTAAACCTAGTATCCTTGTGAACAAGGTATAGGAGGGATGCCTAACACCTTCCCCTCGTCTAGAGCCGAGTCCAAACCTAGAATCTCTAAATTTCTCTTAGGGTTATTCCTTTATACTCCCTTCCTTTAGGATAAAAGTTAAGGGTGGCGACTCTATAATTTAAAACCAGTTGCAACATATTCCTCTTCTTTATAAATGGTTTATGCTGCATATGCCTAGTAGAGGACCATTTGCTGACTCTGCAAATACTCTCTTTTGGTCGTGAAGGATTATGGATCTTACTTCTTATGATGTCGTATGGAACAACATAAGGGGTGTAAGAGAAATCATCACGGGTTGTGGAGGATTTCCCAATGTTTCGATCATTGGGACTAAGGGTTGTATCAATTATAATCTTGTTCTAGCATGGCTCCAGCTGGGGTACATTATGACCGATAAGCCTACTGATCGTGAAGTGGAAGAAACTGTTTATTTCAGCAAAGGTGATAATCCTATCTTGCTGGAAAGAATGAGAAGGGTCTGGAGTCATGTTTATTAGCAAGGGACAACTATCTTTGGTTAGAGAGGTGCTTAGCCCTTGATCCATATGTGGAGTGGGTCAAGAATCGAGTGAAGGTGATGTTGTTGCCTTTCAAGAAGGAAGCATCGTTGTACCCGCAACCTACTTTTGATCCACCGGCTGGTGGTCAATTAGCACCGGACGCCACAGTCAACGAGTCACTTCCTCATGTATCATCTAGTCAACAACCTGTTCTAGGTGTATCCAATTTTGTGCCAATAGAGCTCTACAAGCAGGCAAAGGCCGATAATCTCAAGTTAGAATTAGAAAAGCAGAAACAAGGTATAGAACTTTCTTTTGTTGTCTAA